TTGGTGGTAGCCCTTGCTGTCGGCGGCTTGTTCGCTGCTCCTGGTTGGTGTCGGTGTCTTCTCCGCGACGTCGGCTGGGTTCACGGCTTGACGGGGGCGTCCGGTACATGAACGAAGCAGCACCTCCACCAGATGTCACGAGGTCGTGACGTGGCCGAAGACAGGAGACTTCGTGTTAGAATTTAACTGTTTATTTGGGCGAACCTGTGCCCGGTAAACTGAAAGTCCAATTACAGCAGCAGTCTCGCACAGATAGCAGTCTCGGACTGATAGCGGCGAACGGAGCGTCGGCCTTCGATCAACAACTGACAAGCGGCGAAGCGCGTCGGCATTTATACTCTTGCCGTCGAATGTTCTAGCGTTATCGCTGGCGGTGGCGTAGCTTCCAGAACAATCTGTACCGTTCGCACAGTGGGCGTGATCTTATCGAAATGATCTAATACAGTCCGGAACCTTCTAGAAAACTGCAGGCGCGGTTTGCGCTGAGAATCGTGCGGTGTTTTCGGACGATAACAAAAACTTGGGAAATGGAACGTGGCAATATCTCAAAGTACGCACATTAACTCGATCCACTAGATAGTTTATCCTCAAATAAAGCGCTCACCCATCGGTTGCGTGAACTTGATGTAACAGCTCCGTAATTACACCATGTAGTAAAAATCACTTTTTAATTAAAAAGTATGTGCCGCTTGCAGAATATTGGCAGAAGTGATATCAACTTACCCTTAACATATTCATTAAACAAGAATAATAGACACAAAACATGCGCCCCACCGGCACCTTTATGGCAGTCGTAATTCCTGCCTATATAAACCGGAACGCTTCGAGTACTTATATAGCGCGTTGGTGGCTGTGCTTGGCTGGTCGATGTATTTATGTTGTATACGTGTGCGATGTTGTATTATCGTGTTTAAATAATGTGTATTAACGTGTATGCAACTTCTATTGAGTGTTGAATTTTGTGTATTCACATGTATGAAACTATCACTGAGTGTGGTTGATTGTGTGTGGTACATATATATACAACAGGTCGAGTAAACTGCTGTCAACGTTGTAAGACGCAAAATAACACCCAACTTTGTTTGTAATCTTTGTTAAATAAGCATTCTCTGTAAAACCTTATCCCTTTTTTTGCATCGTGAATTTTTTTAGTATCAATATTTTCCTCTAGGTGGCGCGAGTTACCATTTCACTTCATGGCTGTGGTGGTGATGTTATACTGTGAAACATCCATCTAGTGAATTACTCCTTTCAGTAATGTAACTTTTCTCCAGGTGGCGCTAGCTACTTTCTACTTCAAGGGTATAGTGCTATCAGAGATCCACATCGTATACATAACGACGTACATTTATCTATGTAGTCACCCATGCATGTGCTGGTGCATTTCTGCTGCAATAAGTTATTCACATGGAGCGTACACGTTTAGAGAAAATTGTGTCTGCGAAAGCAGCGATGATGCCCTGTGCGACCGTGTGTGTGTGAAGTGCAAATTTGCGAAGGATTATGAGCCGCATGAATGAAGGTGAGCTGAAACGCGAAAGTGGGACCGTTCTTCTCGACAGCTCGTTGTCGACAAAAGTTGTCATCGCCAATTGCCCTCGTAAACACGCGCACAACGCCGCTACACTGGCTGATGCTTTGAGAAATAAAGACAGCCTTACGTTTACTTGTTGTGTGACAATCATTTTGCAGTATTTCCGGTATTCTTGTGACTGCATGCCGTGTAAATGCACGGGCGAGTGAAATGCGCGATCAGCGTTGTTGTTACGCGTGGTTCTTGTCACCACGGGTCTGGCCGCTTCGTCTTATTTTCGATATAATTTCATATAATGCTGAACGGTATCGTTTTTACGTTGCCCAGTCGCGCATGCTGTTTATTTGTCGAGATTCGATGTCGTTGATAGGCCTAAATCTAGCGCTCGCTTCACTGGCTTGGCGTCCGCCATGTTGATTTTGACGATGGAGGAACACGTTTCTCCGTGGCGGATAGAGCAATTTTGCTCCTTCTGAAGACGAACATTGGGGACATCGCCGTTTCTCCCTAAATGGAGAGTACGTCACTCCATTTTTTTAAGAGTGTAGGTATTTAGGCGGAACATAACATCATTATATACCCTGGGAAGGGGTTGGTTTATATTTCCATGGGCCAAACCACAGTCCCGAGCTTTTAGCAAAGTTCATTCGTGCCTCTGAAACTTTTCCGAATTCCCTGATTGTTGACGCCACCATTTGCATACTGGAAATATCTGTAAAAAGGAACGCTAGGTCATCCGCATACGCCACTACCTTTACCTCATTCCTATAAGCACCTAAACAGTGGACGTTACTAGATCGAATTTCACTTCAGCAGAGTAGTTACAAGTAAAGAACAAAAAGCATTGGCGACAACAAACAGCCCTGTTTCACAGACGAGTTAAGAAAGACGGGCTTTGAAAGACAGCCATTAACTAATAAACAGGTTGAGCATTCTTTTTAGCCTAGTTTCACACCTTTAAATATAGTGGAGGCAGCGTTGGTATGTTTGAGAAGAGAAGACAGAAAAGAATAGCGAACCCGATCAAATGTTTTCGCTAAGTCTATTGTAGTAATGCCAGTTGTTCATATGAGTGTGAACAATGTTTCAATACTGTGCGAGCAACGTCTATGTTAGTTTGTATTGATCGACCTTATAGACTGCAGGTCTGATGGGTACCAAAGAGTATCGACATTGCAAATTGATGTGTGTTTGAAAGTACCTTTGCAAAACTTTTGTAGTGAACGTTGCGTTATGTAATTGGTCGGTAGCCGTCAACGCGACGAAGTTTTTTTTCTCTCAGTATTTTGGGATGAAAACAGCGTTGTCTTCAGTAAAACAGCGAGGAAGCGTCTCTAGATTAAAACTCCGCTCGAAAATCTCGAGTAGTACAGTTACAGTAATGATTTAAATGTCTTGTAAAACTCGCCGGATATTCCATCGGGTCCTGGCGTTTTTGACAATGGTAACTGTTCAAAGGCAGACTCTATTATTTGTATAGTGAATGGCCCACTAATAATTTCACATTCCTCGTCAGTTAGAGAAGTCACGAATGATAAAAACTGCGTCACCAGATGTTGATTTTCATTTTCCAAAGAGGGGCTGAACAATTCTTTGTAATAATAAGCTTTATATGCTGATATAATTTCACTTAAATAATGACCAATAATCCTCCCGAGTGATATAGCCTGGTATAAGTTTGATTTATCATTGCGATATTCATCGAGTAAAGCTTGACGTGTGGGCTCCTCTGAATGCAAAATACGGGTATTGTGGGATCGTACACGGGCACCTCTGTAACGTAAAGCGTCATACCTCTGGAGTGCGATTTTGGCATTAACGATTTCTGCTGTGGAGCGACCAGGAGCCTCACGCTCGAATTCATCTAGGCTTTGAAGATTTTGATTTAGCATTTTTAGTTCTACATTTCTGTAAAAGTCCCTCACAGATCCAATTTCTATAGCTGTCGCTTAAAGTTTTTGTTTGAATAATTCGCAAGAGGCGACTAAAGGCACTTTTGCCAGAATACAGTTCTTCAGTGCTATGCGGATGTGTGCAGTAAACTCCTGGCGGCTTACAAATGAACAGTTAGGTTTCCAATGTGCCACTGAGGTCTGAAGTTACATCAAATGTTGCTACCTATCTGCCCCACAACAATGGAGTGATCTAACAAGGGAAATGGACTCCGTTTTGCATGAAACGTCGCGGGAAATAAGTGGTGCTGAAACGTAAATGCGATCAAGGCGCATATGGGTACTGCCTTGGGCGTGATAATACCAAGGCAGGTTATTCAGCAATCTTACAAGAACTAGTCCCGCATTCTTTTAGCGATGCACCACGGCGCACCAGCTTCTTCAAAAACTTGGCTACCTTGCTAGATCCTGACCGTAATATTGTGCACATGGGCGATTTCAAGTGTGGCTAATTCATGCGGTCGTACCGGGCTTAGTCGCGATGACAAGAGTGCTGGAGCACGTCGGTGCTTGTGACTTGTTGGCAAAATTGCCGTAGGCAGGCTTGATTTCAGGAAAGCAATCGCGTTAATGCGACCTATAAAGAATATTAATACAGCGAAAGAACAACAAGTCGTCGGGAATTGCGAATAGCGTAACGACTGGGTCGTCCAATGCTCCAACCCATTACAAAAGCTTGTTCTTGTTCACCTATTAACTGTGGCCTATACCCACATCAGGCATGATTCCTCATCGTGGTCACCCACTGCATGAACGATTGGCATAAAATTCATTGAAAGTGTTTACCGGATACCATGCTTCTGAGAAGAATGACGAGAAATAGCATAGCGATTGCCAGCCTACTACCCAAAAATTTATTAATAATGCCGTAGTTGGTGTCAAGCAAGTGTGCTTGCAGCAGTTAGCCAAAAAGACTGCTCTTTTTGCTTTCGCCGTGACTGTGCTGCGTCTTCCACGCAAGCCGGGCGTTTTTTTTTCCCATTTGATGATGGACTTCTACGAAATGTTCTGAAGTTTGAGTTTGATTGTAACACCATGAAAATACAAGTGACATGGTTAATAAATATTACAGGATAATGCCCTTAAGAGACACTGTCAGAGGGACCTTCCTATAGATATTTTATTGATTTATTACAAGGCAGACAAGTGGCGATAAAAAAAGAATATTGGAAACACTAAATTGGAAGAATAAATAAATGAAAATAAGAAAAAATAATAAAGAACTTTCGAACCTGTTTTAAAGACGAAAAATAAACGATCAGTACAAAATGCTAAAGAATGATGCATAATAAAACACTTTTACATGAATTATATGTTGGAAAGGCAAAAACGAAATTCACAGCACAAAAAGAGCGAAAACAAAATAGCAGTTGCTATAAAAATGGTCAAAAACTAAAAGGAGAAAACATCAATGTGAAGGCGAAACGATGATTTCTTAGGAAAGGTATTTGATTTCTTCAGCATGCATTGTTATTATTTCAGTGAAAGTATATTTTCAAAAGGAAATTTCATTTCAGGATGGGCAACGGCCGTCGTTTGCGAGGAAGCCCACAAGCCTCGAGGTGAGTCCCTGCCTGGAACGGCACTAAGCGACTTTCATTTGCACGCTGCCCTCACGCCGTTTTGGGTATTCTTTATTATTTACTTTACATGAACCCATCTCATATCTTCCACGTAACGTAGCAGGGCAACATGCATGAAAGTAGTGCTACATCTATGGAACGGACGGCTTTCCGCGGGGGCGAATGGCTTTAAAGGGGTAGCGACACCTTTGTTCGGAGGTGTGTTTACATTGCCACACAACTATCTTGTATACACAGGGAGTTATGAGCAAGTGCGTACCTCAGCAAATGCTGATAAGACATTTTATCTTTATAATAAAGCGAACCCTCCAACATCCACACTCGCTTGACGTCACACTGAAGTACTAGTTCTGGTGACTTCACACAGCACTCTGGCTAGTTGTAATGGCGTCATGCATCAAAACTTCCAAACTGCTGCTTGTGCGATGTGAATAGAGTCCAATTCGCAGCGGCCGTGAAAACGTCACGATGCCTTACGCGAGCACGTGACGAGGAAGTCATACCCCTTTGTGACGTAGGGTACAGGAGCAACCGAAAATTAGAAGGAGAAGAAAAGTAGTGATGACTCCAAGTTCTCCTCTAGCTGTCAGACTATCCTGCTTTGCCATCACGTCTCCGCGGTTTCGCCTTTACTGGTTCATCTGCATTGTAAAGGGATACTGACACAAATGTGTTGGCCTCGCGTTTCTTTTTGTTCCAGTGTGTTCCTTGGGGCCTGTTAGTGATAACACGACACAGCAATTTCAGCAGCGCGTCATCGATAAATAATTACACGCTCGTTAATACCGACCAGTGTAAATTTTGGTGTCCAAAACGACAAGGTACAAGGTGCAGCTATCACCGCCTAGCGGGTGCAACGCTCGACTATGTCCGCATACTGAAGTGTGATGCTCTTCCGCGTGCTTCACACCAAGAATTTTCTGTGACCAATAACCGGGCCAGCAATATCATCAAACACAACACTCGTGCGCCGCAGCTATGGATAAACGAGCAGCCGCTGCGTGATAATCTGCTGGGAGGAAACGCGACCAAACAAAAATGGTGGCTATAAGGCCATTTCAACTTGCTGTCGCGGGTCACGTGAGGGAAGTAGGAGGTCCACAAGGGTCCCTTTGAGGGGGTCAATAGCGTGATGTAGTCGATCACTCACTAAAAGTTCAGAAATCATTTAAAATTCCCTCGAAGCTACATTCGCTGTCGATATTTCGTAGACGGTGTACGAGTGTTCACAAGGGAATTAATTACGCAGGCCATCTCGGCCACAAAATTTTGTGACAGTACTCTATTAAACAACTGTACTCGAAAGAACTACGATTTTCGCAAAATTGACATATTGCACTCGTAAGGCTATGTCATAGGGTTTAGCATAGAGTTTTTTCTCCAACATTTACTAAAAGGAACTTTGGTGCTAGTATCTCTGTAAGATGCAACGCATGGCACTTCAGCCGGTGTAGGAATTATGAGTAGTACACGACCTTGTTTATACATCGTCCATATGTCTCTGTTTGGCTCCGTGCGGCCAGCATCAGCTTTGTCCCAACACGATTTTGAGCAAACGTTGACCAGTTTTATTTCGCCACTTTAACTCTTCAGGAGGTCCAGTGCACAATAACTTGTTTCTACTCTTCGGCCCAGCTCCTCACCTTATCTTTGCGAATTTTCAAGAGAGCCCGCGCGTATTAGTGGCTGATCCAGGTGATATACTGACCCTTTAGCAATCGCAGTCACGCTTACTCAGACAGGATGTTTTATATGGACGGAATTACGAGAACTTACACACAACATTGTCGATGAAGATATCAAGGGCGTAGTAGTATTGAAACTGGGCAAGTTGTTAATGATGCATAGCTGGTTGATGTAAACCTCACTAAAACAAAGACAGAGTAAAGGAAACGCACAAGACCAGCCGCAGTGCTTGGCTTTTGTCCTTCCTTTTCTCTGTCTTCGTTTTTCACGCTGTTTACTTCGATAAAGGGTGTCATTTGTACCAAGTGTACACGTGACATATGTGTGGAGAAAGTAAAGCGGATGAAAAGAAATTTCGCGATTGGCAGAGACTGAAACTGCTACTTTCAAATTCGGAGGTCGCAGGTCTCTGTTAGCGACAAGCTGTCTTTTCGTCCACTTTACTTGCTTGACGTTTATATTACACTTGCTACAAGGAACACCCCGTAAGCGTCCTCTGGCAATAACGTCACAAAATAATTTTAATAATGTGTTCAAGAAAAAGAAAAGAGGCCTTAATGCGCTCTTTCATTCATTTAAATATAGGCTGATTGTAGGTAGAGATTCCTTGCCTTTGTATCTATGGTGCGATGAATATGTGTTTTGTGGGTGCGCGTGTGATGCCGTATCAGTGATTCAATGCCTGCTGTCACTTGCCGAATATGACAGTAACGGCGATGGAAATTATCAACAAAAGGACATATAAAGCGACCTGATGGGATGCATAACCGGCAATTTCCTGGACCTCGAATTGCGTTCTCCATGCACAGGGGTCTTGCTTTGCTCCGACTGACAATTTGTGACGCCAAACATGTTGCCACTGTGTTAAGTCAGTTCTGCCACTTCCCGCAGGTCCTCCTGAACTCTCTTGTGAGCGGGGAATGGTTTTTGTCTGCAAAAGTAGGTGCAGTCTAGCCGACCCTAAACGCACGGGCTACTGCGACAAGGACTTCCATTGCGTGTGCATAACAGCTCCGTCCGGCCACGGTTCATGATGGGCTGAAGGTACTCAACTATACGTGCCAAAAGGGCGTCTTTCAATAAAATGAGGCCCTCTCTAGCCTTGTCCCGTCTCGCTGGAGATCTTTAAAGAGTCTGTAAGCTTCGACAGAGTGCTGTGCGTCATGGTTAGTATCTTGAGCCAAGGGTGAATCCAGTTAAAACTGGCGTGCCGGGAGGGGTGTGTGTACTGACCCTTTTTTATTTAGCAGTTACTATCATAAAGAGATCCCCATCACAGCAGAAATACTGTTAAATATGTTCACAGTGGTCCGCACATACATCCCAATCTTCAATAGGAGGTGGAAAAAAGCGGGGAAGGTTGACATAAGCTTCGGGAAACAGCAATTGCCCCACTCTCGATATTTCTCTGCCTTCATCTTATAGGGCATCCCTGTACCATCTCTCAGTCTAGTAAGTTATGTTCTATCAGGAGAGCTGTTCAAGCTTTTCGTAGCGCCAGTAGTGGTAACACCCTTGCCGCACTGCTCTATAGTTGTTAAGGTTTTCCGCTACTTACCCGCAGGTCACGGGATTGAATTCCGGCTACGGCGGCTGCATTTTCGAAGGAGGCGAAAAGGCTGTAGGCCTATGTGCTCAAATTTGGGTGCACGTCAAAAAACCCCAGGTGGTCGAAGTTTTGGGAGCCCTCCACTACGGCGTGTGTCTCTCATCGTGGTTTTGAGACGTGCAAACCCACATATCACTCAATCAACAGTAGTGTAAACAGAAACGTTGATTGTCATGAACCATCACGCTCTCTGTATGTCTTCCTCCTCATCTTCTGCTTCGCTCCCACAACGCATGCACTGATTTGTCCAGCTTGTGGTGCTACAAATTAGATTTAACAGTCTTTGTGCGACATGTTCCTGCCCGATTCACGTACACTGATCATATATTATATTGCCTACAGAATCGAAAGTTGGGCTAGTTGGATATGCATGGTATAACTGTTATATTGCTGTCAATGTTACGTAGGACTAGTGATGTTACATGCCACCGCTAAGCTTACCTAACCTTAGTCATGTAACCCTAAGTCCCGCCACACTTGTCACAGGATATGTTTCCGCCGAATTTACAATTTAGATGTGGCGTAGAGTCACGTTAGACTATTGACGCGACCCGTTCTTGCCAAAATCACATATTACTAGTCACGAAGCATGCTCCCTCTAAATTCTTAGTAAATCAACGCAAAAAGATAGACACGGAAACAAGAAAAAGATCACAACATATCCATGGCGTGAATGACGATGAGTGGGCCGAAGCGTTCGTCCGTGCGTCCATGCTTCCGTCCAACCACGCATTCATCCACGCGTCCATCCACTGTCAGTCTGTGTCTGTCCGTCCGTTAGTTCAAATCTCTGCCTGTCTGTCCATCCGTGCGTATGTTTGTCTGTCTGTCACTTACACAAGCGCCACCTGCTGAGCGAGTCATAAAACTAGGTGCTTACAAACCGGTCACAGACATTCGTGGATAGCTCCATGACTTCAAGAGCTTCACCCCTAAAGCAAAGGACAGGCTCTGAACTTACAAGTGTTGGGTTTATTGTGTAAAATGAAATGCATACATGTAGTCTGACTGCGCGTGCACCATTAGAACAGCTACTCGTAACGTTTTCAGAGCAGGTAAAATCCACAGTCGCGAAGGCAGATACATTGGGCGGAAGTGCAGAGATCAGGGGCGGTATGCAGGATCGCCCGAGTTTCGCGAAACTCGGCATCTTTCTGAGCTCTGGCCCCTCAAGAACAAGCCAACAGTACCAAAAAGTCAAGTCAACCCCTCAGCGCGCTGCGTTTCATTGATTATATACCATGGAACCAGTCATTGCGTCAAGGACGATCAACTAAGTTGGGCGGTGTTTTCAAAGCAGGGCCATCTCTTTCATTTGTATGTCCTTCCACTGAGTGAAGAAGTGCTCACATGCAATAAAAGTGTCAGAAACAGTTCCTGGTGTGGTAATATTTTTTCGAAGAGCGGGGTGTTTAAAAAATTTTGAAGCATTTATTGCCGGCACTAAGTCTGTTTCGGAATAATCAACGAGGTGGCCTCCGAGATAGGTACCGGCCGAGCGTTTTACAACATCGCGACCGCAGCTAAACGCGAGGCCACCTGTTAATCATCATGGTCAGCCTGTACATACTAGCGCACTGCTCGGCTGGTGTGCGTCGTCTTTGTTGTCATCGCCCGCTAGCACCCGAGCACGTGCGGCGGGTAAAAGAGCTGTTAGGGGCGAAGCTCCTACAGCCGTGGGTCTGTCCCTTCTAGCTCGTGGGACGCGACCACCTACCTAAAGACTCACTAAGCAGCTGTAGATGGATGGACATGAGGACGCACAATTAAACAGACGGCCGGACAGACAGAGGGACGGACGGACGGATGGACAGAAAGGCAGACAGACAGGCAGACGATTCACAGTTTATATCGTTAACCTTCCGAAGCTTCGCCGCACCTATCATTATTCACTTCGTGGATATGCTGTGTTTTTTTTTTCGGAAGGACGGTATTTCGGATGGACGTAGGTAGGTAAGGACATGCTATGACCAAGCTAATTACGCCAAGTCCTGGTAAGGCTGAGGTAATTAAGCCACATCTTGAAAAAACCGTGTAATGAAGCCGTTTAAAGCTAGAACCGGGCTAACTAAAGCACGCAAGTTGAGGAGCTAACTAAAATATGATAAATAACACGGCGTTGATCATGAGCAGGCTAAGCAAAACCATGCTAATCAGCCTTTACTGATATTGCCACGAGGTCGTGACGTGGCCGAAGACAGGATACTTTGTGTTGGGATTTAACAGTTTATTTGAGCGAACCTGTGCCCGGCGAACGGAAAGTCCGATTACAGTAGAAGTTTTGCACAGATTGCAGTGAACGGAGCGTCGGCCGTGGATCAACTACTGTCAAGCGGCGAAGTGCGTCGGCATTTATACTCTTGCCATCAAATGTTCTAGCGTTAACGCTAGCGGTGGCGTGGGTTCCGGAATTATCTGTACAGTTTGCAGCGTGGGTGTGATCTTATCGAAATGATCTACTGAAGCCTGGAAGCTTCTCAAAAACTGCACGCGCGTTTTGCGCTGAGAATTGTGTAGTGTTTTGCGGCGATAACAAAGCTTGAGAAATGGAACGTGGCAATATGATGAGATTTAGTATTCTGCTAATCAGAGTTACGTTTAATAGTGGCCATGGTAATTGCTCTCGAGAAAATGGCCTTTTAATTATGCCTAATCAATGAAGGCAAGACAGCTTAGTGTAATGAACGTTAGGTCTCAGCCAATTAGTACAATAAAATTAAGACAAAGCTAATGTGGTCTTCTCTTCGTAGCCGACCACGCACATGAGGGGACGACTAACTTAATAACCTGCGAGAAGCAACGTTATCACAAACTCCTCTGTGGCTTCAGCCTTGCAGAAGTAGTGTAAGCTCGCCATTTATTTTATATGTAAAGAAGCTGCTGCTTAGCATTCACCGCATCAAACGCTTGACATTCACACCGGCAGCGTCACAGTCACGAGTTAAACTAGAGGCTCCTCGGAATCAATGAGCTTGCATCCAAGTTCCCGCCTCCATCAGTTTGATTAACAGAAGCCCGTGGCGAAGATCGGGCACGCCCACCATGTTTGCTCATGCCGAGGAGCAGTATTCACGTCTAGCGGCACGATTAATCTATCAGCTTTATCGCGCAGGCTATGCACACACGCACGCAGAAGTAAAAGTTATATCACCACGCGGCTACAATGTTCTGTATTGAATTTCAGCGCGCTCACGACTTGGCCATTCAGAGGCGCGTTGCCACCTATTGCCACCACAATGCGAGCGCCCCTGGTGACCACCTGTCCCTGTATTTATCTTTAATACTTGGTAGAAGCAAAACGAGTGGCACGAAAGTGCGGCGTGTACACCCTGCTTGCCTTCAAGAGTGGAAATTTCTATGCTGCAGGTGGAACGAAAGAACCTGTGCGAAAGAGGACATACGCCCACGTATGTGGGAGGCACGTGCTAAGTTGGCAAAATTAGTGCACGACAATCACGCTGACGTCGCTGCACTGCTAAAATGTTCAGTGAGTGGCGGCGCTTGCACGCGGTGTTTTAAGTGTGAATACACTTTATAAGCTACCCCAAATCATCCACCGCCGTCGGCGGCGTCCGCAGTCTTCTCTCTATCTTAAAAAGAAAGAGGACTTGGCGGGCCGCAGCGTGACGCTCTACCGAATAAGCCACGGACGCGACGCTGATATCGGTGTCAGTAACGTGCCTTATACACCCTCCCCCTACGCTCGCTCCTCCGCTCTACTCGCTCGCTGCAGCTGCGCGCGCACCCCTCTCTCTCGCGCGCCCGCCTTCTCTCTCAGTCTCCCGTCGAGAGCGGGTCGTGCGATGGATGTCCCGGAGGCAACGCTACCATCAACAACGAATGCAGTACAACCGAATGCCAGCACTGTACCCGTCGTTGGAGGTGACGGTACCGCGGTGGTTTCGCCGACGTTGGAAGACAAGGCGGCGCTTCGAAGGGCTCGTGAAACCGAACGTAAGCGGGCGAAGCGTGCAGCGGATGCCGAACTGCGTGCTCGCGAGGCCGAGTGCAAGCGGGCGAAGCGTGCAGCGGATGCCGAACTGCGCGCTCGCGAGGCCGAGGACAAGCGGGCGAAGCGTGCAGCGGATGATGAGCTGCGTCCTAGCGAGGCCGAGATGAGGCGTCAGCATCGAGCCGCGAACGCGGCCCAAGAAGCGGAACGACAACGCAAGCGTCAGGCGGAGAAGGGCGATGAAGGCCGGCGTCAAGACGCCGCTCGAAATCGTCAACGGCGAGTGGACGTTCCCGAAGCCGTTCCAGCCAGTGAACGTGCCGCGCGGGAGAGGGTGCGAGCCCTGGACTTTGCTCGTCCAGACGCGTCGTGAAGTGTAAATAAATAATACTTCGTATATAATGTATCTTTGTACAAATGCTTCACGACAAATACCACTTAAATTCATTATTCACACTTTACTCATCACCATCAGTAATAAAACTCTCAAGCATTTCCCCGAGGGTGAACATGGTTAAGTGCGAATGCACGGGGTGATGATATGAGGGGGA